GATTAATCATTAATATGATAAAATCCGTTTAGTTACTCGTATCTTGAAAATTAATATTTTGATTACTCCCAAATATTATGTATGTATGAATGTTATGTTTGCCAATTTCTTATTTATATTAATGTCAAAAATCTCCTCAATGGGGAGGAGATTAATCTATTTCACTTTTTATTATTCCACTCAATAACCATTTTCTATAATTTTGCCAAACAGTACGGATCACCATAAAAACTCATTATCAATGTAAACTAACTAAAAAGGAATGTATTTTTGGATAAACTAAGTTCCTAGCATCAATACTATTTTTCGATGATAATAAATAAGAAAATCACTCGTTAATTAACGTTTTATTGAAGCCATTAAGTCCTTCAAATGATATAGTTTGTTGGGCTTCGTCCGCGTGGTCTTGTATTATACATAACAACCTTCCTTTTGAATCACCCTATCTACGAAAAAAAAACCGCATCAAAATCCGTTGCGTAGTTTTAAAGTTTTAAGCATACATATGCATATAGGGACAGAGAAAGCGACTTTGCTTTATACTATGTAGTGATCTATATTATAAAAATAATATTATAGATTCAATTATATTGTCATTATTTTCGTTCAAAGAGCCATCATTATATCGTATTAAAATATAACATTTTGGCTTCTGAGAGAAAAAAGATTTGTTTTTATTTTGTCTGTCTATCTAAAATTGAAATATAGAACATTGATACAAAACTAGATTCACATCATTCACCGAATATTCGATTCTGTCTGTCCGTTTTAACTTAGCTCTTTAAAATCTACAAGCCTCTAGTTTACAACTATTAAACAAAATTAAAAGTATAACGATAAGTGGAGTAATTTTCTCATTTCTCTTACTTAAAAAATAGGGACCATATTTGTCCTAAACATTTTGTGGACACAATACAAATGGAGTGATAGAGTAGGTTTATATATTTTCTTTGATAATAGCTTGGTTTTTAGGTCTCCGTACCCAAAGGATTGGGACAGGTTCGATGCTTAAGCAAATGAATAAAAGGCTGACTAAACCGTGGAAGTTAGAAAGTTGAAATTTTCACTAATGATGCCGTTTCAACAACAAGTACTTAAAACCAGAATAAAATAAATATATATAGGTTTTTATTTTGTGAATGTCAAAAAACTGTTTTAACGTGAAGTACCCAAAAAATATTCATTTATAAATATGTACTCATAAATTTTGTATGGAAACGCAAATTGTTTTATTCCTAATATCAAACTAACATAGCTAACGGAATATACGAAGTGTGTCTTCCGTCGCGTCACCTCTCAACTGACAAATATAATACTAAGTTATAACTAAATGCATACTTTAGTTAATATAGAGAAAAAACAATAATAATAATTAGGAATGGATATCCCTTTGAGTATAGGACTAAATAGTCCACCATTAACAACTATTTCCATTTTCCTCTATCTTCCATTCATTGTTTTGTAATATGCATTTTGTTTTGTAACACATTATCACTTTTTAAATCATATTGTCACTCTATAATATAAAATCAACTGTGACTTTGACTACACTAAAGACGCAACCTTCTAGATGGCGCTAGATGCAGAGAGGACACACATTTTTTCTTTTTGGTTTTATAGCTTTGGAATAGAATTCATTTGGCTGTAAAATTCGTGACTGAGGACTGACTGACTACGTGCACTTTTTTGTGTACTATTATCATTAGGACACTATGCAGTAAAGTATGTACAATAAATATCAATCAAGGGATAATAGTTCTAATGTGTAGAGTCGTTCACGCTTCCCTGAAACGCTTTTGGTTTATTCCACTACGACCACCTGGGTGATATTACATGTGTGTCCAACTCCACATTTTTTGTGTTTCTTATGAACTGAGCCATGACCCTTTTCTTAGTTCTTTACATAGCTCATGTATGTTTACTCTTGTTATATCTTTATTTTAAACTTTAAATCTATCTACCAATCAACTATTATAACTTTGAATAAAGTACATTATAATAGGTTGTACTATAATGTAAAGACAAACTGGTGACACACGGAGAGACAGACAGTGAAGTGAACAAGGTTGCCGTTTTACCGTTTGAGTACGAAAACCTAAAAGCAATCTTCAATAAGCTATTATCACATACGTTAGCCGGTGATACAACACAATGTTTAAACAGCACTAGCTTCCTAATCATTTGCCATTTCTGATAAGAGTTTTCTTAATGTATTTCTCTTAGTTAATACATATGAATGTTAGTGGATCAATTTGGAATGTAGATTTTGTTTGTATCGTTTGTTGCCAGTAACAAATACTATCTTTATAATTCACTATATAATTCACTATATCAATACTTATTATCATTTAGGTAGTAGGACAATCAACAGCCTATTTGGATATGCCTTTCAATAAGACTTGAGTTTCTATGAAATTGTTTATTTTTTAAGGTATATTTTTATCTTGAGTTCTTACCACATCCAATACTTACTGGGACGTTGTTACAGCTGCTTCTCTTTTCAAACGTCAATTCGTATTTAATATATTGCCAATAATAATGGTTTACGTATTTGCATCGGTTACTGATTCATTACAAACGTAAGCCACTATTATATTATAATTGCTGACATTTTCATTTTCAATAGTAGGTAGTCATCTTCAGGTAATCTTTGAAATCGCCTGTATCGTACACTGTCTCTTTTTGTCTGTTGTACCTATTTGCTTTCAATGTGTGTGAGAATATTAAACTGAATGTGTAGCCAGAGGAAACTAATTGATTCACATCATGTGCCATTGGAATCTTGTGGTAGTACCTGTAGTATACTTTTATTATATCTTTAGACTGTGTGATTTCCAGAAACACATGTATGAGTGTTGCTGCATTTCTTGTATATATATATTTTTTTCGTATAAATAAACGATCGCCAATTTGGTTCGTAGTTAAGACTATATACGGGCACTATAACTTTTCTAAATATTAGTTAACAATCATTCATTGGTTTAATTAAAAAAAAAGTATTAGATTGAAGCTAGCCAACTGTTTAGTTACAACAGTAGCATGGAAAATGTGACTAATCAAGTCGCAGATCAAATTTATGGATATGAAAAGAATAGAAGAATTTAGATAGAGTGTGTGCCAGCCGATGATATGAAGCGGTATAGTGGGTAACGCTATCCTTCAGCCATTCTCTGGTGCTATAGTAACTCGAGTCGTGGCAAAACTAATTTCAATCTTAATGTAACTCTTTGGTTGTTTGTCTAGACGTGGATGATGTAAGTTATTATAGCACCGAGCACGGCGGCAATTTGTTGGTATGATGGAGTCAGCGGTTCTCGTTGCGTGTACTCGGTGGTGAGTTCCGATTCTAAACATCCTGTATCATTGTACTGTTTGGGTTTAATAAACGTTATGTTCACTACGTGTGTGGAATAATGCGAAATTATAATTAATTTATAGCGTTTATTAAACAGTTTTCACATAAAGGTAACATACAAAAAAATTATTTCATAAATATATTATTAAATATGGATAGGCACTAAAATATTTAGTGTTCAAATATTGCCACGCCTAATAACTTAATACAATTAGGTGAAACATACAACACAATTTAATTTTTAACAATATCGTGCACTTAAAACAAACTAAGTTAAAAATCACTGTAACGTTAAACTATAAAAAAATCTCATTCAATTCGGATTTGTACTTGCAGAAAACATTAGGTCATAAACATCGGCAGTGTTTTTCAAACATAGAAACTGGCAAGGCAAGTGGTGCGTGCGTACTTCGAGATCGGTGACCGCGCTGCTAGCGGATTCTACTTTGATATGTTTCTTTGTCACCGAACAAGTTGACATGGGGCGGCGCGAACGCGACTAGTGTACGGAACGGCCTAGACTATGTTGGGCGCGCGGACCAGACGCGAGTACGTACTGTACATACGTGGGACGCGGCGTGACTGACTGACACTGGCACAGTTAGTTGGAGCTGTTAGATGACAAGACGACAGCCTGCTGCGTGCAGTTTGTTAGGTTTAGGATCTCTTCGGAACTGCACAACGAAACTGGACAGTACAAACATTAACTCATGCCAAGGATAAAGCTGAAGCTGAACACTTGTCGGTTCTGGTTCTGGTCTGGTATATTTACACAATTGACGGTAGTCATCAGCGCAGCTGTCGTCCGGCCCCGGTTGCGGCCGTAGCTTCACAGTTCGTACGGTGTAATTAACGAGTTCTCTACAGTAAATACAACTGAGATCTTTTGCACAACTTTCACAAGGTAATTTTCAACACAAAAAGCGTACTTAGTGATTCATCAATTCTTAATGTTAATAAGGCCAAATAAATCATTAACTAGCGCAGGCTTAATTTAAGAGTATTGGGTGAAAAATACATTTTACAGTTCGTCGAACGACGCATCTCGTTTCTCTATGTGTCTATAATGAAACAAATTGAATCTACAATAATTACATAATTTAGTAAACATCGTAGCGGTAAAAGCAAAACAAAACAGTCGTAGAATGTTTTGTGTTCGTGTTAATCACATGTTACGTGTGTCTGCGCGGCTCGGCGGGCGCTCGTCGTCCTCGGCGCCACGTCGCTCATCTCGCTGGGACTATTTACACAAAAAGCTTAAATGTACAGCATTGTTAGATGCGGAAATTCGCCCAAAGTATGCTACTGAGTTAAAATATACTGTCGGCCTCGTGAACAGTGTTAGGTCGCCCGCTGCATGGGGATCGGGCGGTCGCGGTCGCGGACGCGGACGCGGACGGGTGAGCGGCGCGGGCCGCGGTGCGTGTGCCATATCATCACGACTCGGCGCGGAAGCTCGGGGCGTTATTGCGGAAACCGCTACGACTGTGTGAAGCCATCTATGGAGTGTATTCGCATGTCAACTTTCGAATTTATAAATAGTAGTTTTCACCCGATCTCAGTGATATTGTGATGAAACAAAGAAACACTACATTAATGGATTAAAGTGCGCGACGCGAGCTCGCTGCCTGTATCTATGTCTTACTTTTGACGACTAGCTTTGCCGAGGTCTCAACCTGGCCGGCGGCGGTGGTGGCGCGGCAAGTGAATATGCCGGTGTCTTCCTCGTAAGTGTTGCCAATTAGCAGTACGGCGTTGTTGCCCTCGTGGATCATCTGCAACCATACACATGACGCTTGGAAACGATACTTTTTACACATAAACTATAAGCAATTCGATTATTACTATTATAGAGAGCGCTACGATGTTTTTAACTTTCTCAATATGGAATTTCATCACAAACTGATAAGTCAACAATTAATCTTTACTTATACTATAAGGAGGCAAACTTTGTTCGTTTGTTTGTTTGTGGGGGTTATTCGGAAACATTAATCTCATAATAAACAGCTAGTGTTATAATTAAACATTAATTAGTTACCTGGAAATCCGGAGTCTCAGGAATTAGTGCTCCTTCGCGAAGCCACTGAATGGTAGGTTTGACTTTGCTTGTGATGTGGGTCTTAAATTGAGCTGGTTGACCTTCCATAACTACAATATCACGAAGAGGAGTAAGAGTAGGCAAGTTATCGGCTTGATCTGGCTGAGTAACCTTCAATTTGGCGGCAACAGTCACGCGCCCAGCAGAGTTGTATGCCACACATTTATAATCGCCTTCATCCTCAGGGAACGCCTCCGAAATTCTAAGGGTGTATTCATCAGCAGCTCTTGACATTTGAAAGTATTTCGACGGTTTTATCAGCTTATCTCCTTTGTACCACTGCACAGTTGGCGTTGGTTTTCCAACAATTTTACAGCCAAATTCTATTGCTTGACCTTCAGTGACAACTTTGTCTTTGAGAGGTTCAATAATTTCAGGAGGAGCATTAGCGGCTTTAGTTTGAGGTTTAGGCTTTTCTTTAGTTGCTGGAGCATTTACTAAACATTCAGCGTCACATCTCGCCTCACCTGCACTATTGATAGCAACACATTCATATTTGCCAGAATCTTGAGGATATGCTTCAAGAATTAAAAGTGTGTATGTACCATCTTCTTCTAAAATTTTGTTCCTTATGTCGGGTTGCACTTTCTTACCATTTTTCAGCCAATATACATCGATTGGTTTCGTTCCTGTTACCTTTGTATCAAATCTGACGAGTTGGCCTGAAACTACATTCACGTTCTGGGCAGTGAGTGTAAAGCTAGGTGGAATAACTCCGCCTCTGCCTTGGCGCCTACGCTCTTCCACAACTAAGTTGGCACTACATTTAGCGGTCCCTCCTCTATTCTCAGCTACAGCTGCGAATACAGCAGAGTCTTCGACAAACACTTGTCTGATAATAAGAATAGATTTAGTGCTAAAAGTATGAATTTGGAAGTCAGGTGAGTTTTTAATTGGGAAGTTTTCGCGGTACCATTTAATTGTAGGCAGTGGTTCACCATCGAACTCCACCTCAAAACGAGCTTGCTCATGTTCAAATACGCGACAAGGCTGCATTTTTCTCGTGAACACTGGAGGCTTACTTGGTTTTACGGGCCCTTCAACCACTCTCTCTTGGGTTTGCGCTTTGTGTTCTACTTCAGTAGTTTCGGTCGATGTAATCTTTCGAGTTATCTCCGTATCACCAACAACCTCTTTTTGAATTTGTTTCTGTTTGGCTACATGCACTTCTTTCCCATGAACAGTAGATTCAGATGGATCTGGAATCCTCGGTTTCTGGACAACACGCTTATGGACTTGTTGTTCCACCACTTCTTCAGTTTGTTCTCTGGAAATATAATTTTATTAAATATTAAGATAGTCTTCGTACTTAAGGTGAGTTATTTCTAAACAAATATACTTACAAGCTATCTTCGTATCTCTGAGCCATGCCTTTTGCAATAGAGCTGCTAGCTATTTTTTCTCCTGGAATGGCATATTGATGAGTTGATTCTCTCAGCCTGCTTTCCTTGACAACTTGCTCATTTTCAAGTTCTTGAAGTTTGTTGTAGTATTCTTCACCCTTCTTCTTTTTGACTGTTTGTTGCCATTCAGTTTCCGGTTCCTTGATGATTTTAGGTTTCAATTCAGGCCTATGATCAATGACACCTTGGCGCTGCAATGTCTGCCTTTCTTCGAATGTTTTTTCTAGTTCAGTTTCAGTACGTTGTTGTGATATTTCATCATACCAAGCTGTTTTAATCAATAATTATATTAATAAACAAAATAAATACATAATCTAATAGTTCATCAAAACATACCTCCTCAAGAATCCGTTGCTAAGCCGGTAGAAGCAGGTGATTTAGCTGCGATTTTCTGATGGATTTCAGGGGAGGGTATGGGGGACAGCAAGGGTTTTTATTTGTGCTTAAGCGGTATATTGGTGTGTTCGTGATATTTGCTGATGTGTGTTAGAATAGCAGTGTTTGAAAGCGTAATTTTGTCAAAACAAAAAAAATAAGTACTTGATATTTAATCATTGGCATTTTTCATATGCAAAGTCAAGTGTAAATTGCTGGATGTAATTCAACTCAAGTGATAGATACTTACGTCGTGGCGCATTCTTCAAAACTCCTCTATAATCGTCGTGTCTCGGAATTACTTTAAGTTCGGTCGTGGCCAAAGCCTCGCCAACAGAGCTCCTAGCGATAACTTCAATTTTGCCGGTATCATATTGTCTAGTTTTTGGTATGTCGAAATGGTACATTCCATCATATGTCAATTTATATCTTGATCCCTAAAAGATGAGATAAAGATAAGATTTTCTAGTATGAGAATATCATATGTGAAATTAATTTGAAAAGTAAACTAATGACGTACATTAACTATTGTGTTTCCATTCAACAGCCACATGACACGTGGTTTCGGATGCCCAGTAACGCGGCAACAAAAACGAGCCCATTCTCCTTCCTCAACGGTTACAGGTTCGGGTCGGCTAACGAATACAGGAGCTGAACGAGCTTTCGCTTCTTCAATAATTTGCTCAGGTGCCCTTCATATAAAAACAATTTTATATTCAAATTCAATTAAGTTGTATTCAGACAAATATATTATTAAAACATATCACATGGTTATAAATTTTCTGAACTTTTCCATGAATACTTACGTTTGCCATGATGCTTCCATCTCACGGATCTTCTCAATACTCTTCATGTGTTTAGGAAGTTGCGAGTCGTATACAATACCAGGTTTGCCAGCTGTCTTAATAACAGCTCTGGTTTCGTCCATGCCGTAAAGATTAGTAGCGCGGCAAACGTATTCGCCACTATCTTCAGGATATACCCAACCAAAGTTCATCGCTACGTAGCCGAAGTCGTAAATGGGAGTAAATCGATTTTCTGTAATTAATGAAATTTCAGTTAAACACTATCCTAATTAAATGTCAAAAATGTATAAATTTTAAGCTTCGAAACATACTATGCAGTAACGGTTTGCCATTGAAGAACCATTCAACTTTCATATTAGGATCTCCGACCGGTGCTAATTGACATTCGAATTTAGTGGATTCCATTTCAACTAAGGTGGTTTGGCTCTGGATTTGCGTTACAAAACGTGGGGGTTGCTTTTTATCTGCGTCGTAAAGGTCATCTTCAGTCAAAAATATTTCAGATGTGTACTTCTTGATGGTCGCTTCCATTTGTGTCAATGCTTCAGATTTCTTCATACCACGAGGAACTTGGTTTTGCAAAATAATATCAGGTAATTCTGAAACAATAAAGGACATGATAAGTTTTATAATATGTGAAGATCATATTTAAGTCAATAATAAATTAAGCATAATATATGATGTTATTATCTATAACATTCATGCTTACGTTTGCAAGATATTGATCCCTTAGTGAAATCTTCACCGAAATCGTTTACAGCTCGGCAAACATATTCACCAGAATCTTCTGCGTATACGTATAGGATATCCAAAGAAACGAATCCCATATCGTAGACTGTACGGTATCTGTGACCAGATGGCAAAAGTTTTCCATTACGGTACCATTCTACACGTAGTTTAGGATCTTCTTTAGGTTCTACCCTGCATTCAAATCGTACGCCTTCTGATTCTTCAACGGTGTGTGACTGTATTTGAGTAATGAAACGTGGTGGCGAACTAACTACGGGCTCATCTTTAGGCGTGTCGGTAACTCGTCCTCTTTCAAGTTCCTTGATCTTTTCGCCGCTCATGCCTTGTGGTAGTTGTGATTCGAGCACTATGTCACGTTTAGCGCTGCATGTTATTTTTGCCGTTGTTGTAGCTGAACCCCATTTGTTAGTTGCTCGACATGTGTATTCACCAGCATCACGAGCATAAATATAGTCAATATCTAAAGCAATAAAACCAAAATCATTCAGCATGTGCACACGAGATCCAGTTGCAAAGGCTTTTCCATTATAAAACCAGTCAATCCTCATAGTGGGGTCTCCAACTGGTTCTACTCTGCAATCGAAATGTATAGGGCCACCTTCTGGTACATCTAGATTGTCCTTGATATCAACCGTAAATCTTGGAGGATTAGGTTTCTCGTCTTCAATCATTATTTCTTCTCTCTTGTGCAGAGTTTCCTCTAATTTCTGGATACTCTCAGTTCCTGATTTGAAATGAGATGGAAGTTGAGGTTCGAGTATAATGCCTTGTCTACCCTTGACTTGCAGTTTACATGATACAGTGGCTTCACCATGACGGTTAGTAGCTTTACAGGTATACAAACCAGCATCACGTTGATAAACACCGCCAATCTCAAGGATAACGAATCCAAAGTCGTTAATGGTCTTTACTCTAGATCCAGTCAAAAGAGCTTTTCCATTATGGAACCATTCTACTCTCATGCTCGAATCATTTACAGGAACAAGTCGACATTCAAAGTGAGCCGATGAATTCTCAGATAGTACTAAGTCAGAGGGTGTAGTTATAAATTCAGGCGGGCTACCGGTTTCTGCTTCGGGAGTCATTGAGTCCACAGTGCCAGTGTAGCCTTCAAGTGCTGCAATTTTATCAATAGTACCTTCCATTCCCTTAGGTAATTGCGATTCTAAGATGATATTGCGCTTTCCTTGTACTTTCATTGTAGCAGTTGTGACAGCTTCACCATAATTATTGTACGCCCGACATAGGTATTCGCCTGAATCTTCAGGGTAAGTAGGTGATATTTCAAGGATGACAAAGCCAAAGTCGCAGAATGTTCTAAATCTTGATCCTGCTTTAAGTGATTTTCCATTCCAGTACCATTCCACCTAAAAAATGACCAAATATGAATAGTTGAACTAATAAATTATAATTTTTTTTTATACAAATGTTTTGTATACAAAGGATAATAATGGGGCCCTATTACTGAGATTCTGCTGTCTGTTCCTTTGTCTGTCCGTCTGTCACCAACCTACGTATCATGAACACCATCTGTGAAAATTTCAACTCACAAATATCAATTCACTCAAAGTTGACGTTTTACTCACGGTTGAAATTTCCACAGATAGTGTACTTTAATTGCCGTTAAAACAACAAAAACTAAATAAAATTAATATGTAAGAGCGGGCTCTAATTCAACCAACGTTATTTTTTTTTCATTTTTATAGATAATGCTAAATGGTATGGAAACCTTCGTGCATGAGTCCGCACTCGCACTTGGCTGGTTGTTGTTATGTTAAAAAAATATTATGTTACAATTTTACTTACTTTCAGATTTGGATCATCAGTCGGCGTCAAGCGCGCCTCGAAGTGGGCATTCTCCCCTTCTCTGAGATTGTCAATGTTTGACAAAGGAACAGTGAAAACTGGAGCTCTACCTTTCTCTTCCTCAATGGTAGTATCTTTTCTTCGGATCATTGAATCTTCGAGTGTTTGTAACTTCTCTAATCCTCCTTCCATGCCCTAAAAATAATACACCATAAAAACTCATGTCAATCTGGTAGTTACTAAGGTATTACTATCGACTATTAATGCATAATAAATGTTTTAATAATTGTTATATATCTATAAATCTTACTATGATACGGTAATACATATATAATTGATTTACCCGCGGGAGTTGCGAGTCCAAGATCAAATTTTCCTTCGATGTACATTTGAGAGTTGCTTTAGTTGAATCTCTTCCTAATTTGTTAGTCGCAACACATTCATATACTCCTGAGTTTTCTTCGTAACAGTACAATATATCCAATATGACAATACCAAAATCATGGAAAGTCCTGTATCTGTGTCCATGGGGCAATTTCTTTCCATTATAGAACCACTCCACCTTAAGGTCGGGGTCATCTACCGGTATTAATCTAGCTTCGAAGTGGGCACTCTGACCTTCAACCAGCTTCGTGACATCTTGTATTTGTGTTAAGAACTTCGGTGGTTCCATAGAAGCCGCTACTGTTGTTTGTTGTTGTACACCTTGCATACTTTCTAATTCTCTTATTTTAGCTAAAGAATCAGGCTGCAAGCTGTCTGAATAAACACCTCCTCTGCCATAACAACCGATTGTGGCTTTAGTGAAATCTTCGCCATATTTGTTATAAGCTCTACATACATATTCACCTGAATCATGATTCTGTGTATAGGAAATATCCATCACGACAAAGCCGAAATCTGACACCATTTTGATACGTGTTGAATGACGTAATGGCTGTCCGTTGTGATACCACTCAATTTTCATGTCAGGGTCATCAACTGGTACAACCGTACATTCGAAGTGAGCTGATTGACCGTCCTTGAGACCTTCGATACTCTGAATGTGCGTGGTGAATCTCGGTTTTTGACCCTTGCTCTTATCAATACATTCTAATCTAACGCTTATTTCGGCTTGTCCCCACCGATTAGTTGCTCGGCATGAATAAGTGCCCGAATCTGTGGTCTTGGTTCCAAGAATTTCTAGAACCACCATGCCAAATGCATAAACTGTACGAATACGATGACTAGCTTCGATTGTTTTTCCGTTGTAGAACCATTCAATTACCATACTTTGATCACCTGTCGGTATAAGAGATGCTTCGTAGTGAGCTATCTGTCCCTCACTAATATCAACGATATCCTTAAAAACTGTGGTAAATTCAGGAGCTCTACCAGTATCGTCATCTGGTGCTTTTCCAGGTTCTCTGCGTAGAGACTCTTCGAGATTCTGAATTTTCTCTAATCCTTCAGTACCCTTGGGATGTTGAGTACGTTCGATGAGATTTTCCTTACTGATACAGAAGATTGTAGAAGATGTAAATGCTTCGCCTCTCTTGTTATATGCCTTGCAAGTATAAATGCCACTATCTCTTTCATAAACATCAGTTACATCTAAAGTCACAAAACCAAAATCACTTGTAAATTTGAATCTAGATGCTTGCTCAAGGACTTTACCGTTAAAGTACCATTCTATTTTCAGATCAGGATCATTTTTAGGCTCTACTTGACCTTCCAGGTGAAGACCTTGTCCTTCAATCAATTGTTGTTCAGATGCAATTTGAACTACCCATTCTGGTTTCGGGTATTCAGCGTCAGGGACAGATGGTCGTCTACCCTTTGAAAGCCTTGCTTCTTCAGCTTGTTCGACTGCCTCTAATCCAGCTTTACCTTGTGGATGTTGAGTATCGAAATAAATATGCTTATCACCTGTACATCTCAGTGAACCTGATGTTGTTGCTGACCCTTTGCTGTTGGTAGCTTTACATGTGTAAATACCAGAATCTTCTTCATAGGTGTGCGTAATATCCAAGGACACATAGCTAAAGTCATGTGTACTTTTATAACGCGTTCCAGAAGGTAAAGGCTTATTGTTGAAGAACCATTCAATTTTTAGCGTAGGGTCTCTTGATGGTTCTACGTTGCATTCGAAATGAATGTTATCTCCTTCTTTGCAGAGAATATTGTTTAAATGTGATATGAACACAGGTGTCTCATATACTGGTTCCGGAGATTCAGGTTTGCCTGGTTTAGGTTGTTCAAGAGCCCCAATTCTGTCTAATGACTCAGGATGAAGAGATTCCCCTAGTAACCAATGTCGGTCTTCAATCTTAATAGAAGCTGTAGATACTGCTTCTCCCATCATATTGGTCGCCTTGCAAGTGTAAATGCCAGAATCATCTATTCGCAGACCGTTAATCGAAAGAGTAACAAGACCGAAGTCGAAAGTACTCTTCAATCTCGCACCTGTAGTAAGAGATATGCCATTCTTGAACCATTCTATTCTGAGATTTGGGTCGGTACGTGGTTCAACTTGTGCTTCCAAGAAGACATGTTGTCCTTCTACCAGTTTGTCGTAACTCTTAAGATGAGTAGTGAAAATAGGCGCTTGCTGTACTCCTGTATCGACAAACATTTCAGGAACTCTATTCATCGCTGCCTCTTTGGCTTGAATTTGTTCCCATGATTCTGGTCTCAAAGCTTGATCTACGATGGTTGATTTTGTCTTTACTTTAAGTGACGTAGAGGAAACTGTGCTGCCGGCTCTGTTTATAGCTTTACACATGTATAAACCGGCATCTTGTGCTACCACAGAATTGATATCTAACGTGACGAAGCCAAAATCGTGTGTTGTGCGGAATCGGGATCCTGAAAATAAAAATTATAGTTGAATAAACAATATTTGTTGTGAAAAGTTGATTTTAAATTATTCGTACTTTACATCAAATATCGGGGGACTATGTTTGGTATAATAGAGTTCAATAAATTATACGAACCCATTTTCAATTCGACGCCATTAATATACCATTCAAAGCGCATGCTTGGATCACCGACAGGAACTACACGCGCTTCATAATGAGCGTGTTGTCCTTCCCAAAGCTCTGAAGGTCCTGTCAAAACTTGAGTGAAAATTGGTTTCTCGAACTCGCGGTCCGGTTCTTCAGGTCGTCTTGACTGTGGTTGTTCTAATTGTTGGATCTTTTTCATGCCCTCTGGGTGTTGCGTATCCATCTGTATTGCTGCTTTAGCTGTTAAAATGTATAAAAAAATTAATTTATGTATTAAAATATGGTATTAGTATCTTTGTAAAATAGAAAAAAATTCTTACTTCGTATCCTCATAGCAGCGGTAGTAACTGCTTCTCCTAGTAAATTAGATGCTCTGCACATGTAGACCCCTTCATCTTCATCACGCACGTGAGTGATCGTCATTGATACGTAACCAAAATCGTGTGTTTTTGTTATTCTGGAACTGTCCTCAATAAGCTTCTCATTTCTGAACCATTCCACTTTGAGTGTTGGGTCACCGACTGGAATTAGTCTGCAGTCAAAGTGTGCAGTTTGACCTTCTTGGATATTATCAATGTTTTGAAGAGGTTGTGTGAAAACTGGCCTCTGTCTGGTAACCGGTTCAGGAATATCTGGACGCCTGAATGGTTCCGCTGATTCTAGTTCTCGGATCTTCTCTAAGCCTTCTGGACGTTGAGATTCCGATATAATACTGCCTTTTGCGGTTACAGTCATGGATATGGAAGAGGTACATTGTCCAAGAGCATTTATGGCTTTAACGGAATATTCACCTGCGTCTTCGGGGACACAATGTTGGATATCCAATGACACATAACCAAAATCAAAAGTGATATGGAACCTTGAGGCAGATTGCAGGGCTTTGCCGTTATGATAGAATTCGATGCGCAGATTAGGATCATGTACGGGTTCTACCTGGCATTCGAAATGTGCTGTTTTACCCTCGAACACGTGTGTTGTTCCTCTGAGTTCAGCAGTGAACCTTGGTGGACTTATTTTAGGTTCTTCTACCTCTATCCTGGTGTGGTGTCCTTGTGCTTCCAACTGCCTTATTTTCTCTAAGCCATTTGGATGTTGTGTGTCAAGAATTATGCTTCTATGCCCTGTAATAAAAAATAAATATCATCAGTTTAGTACTTACATGGTATCGAGATATTTAATTCTAATTTGATAATTTTGTTACTTTACCTGCAACCTTCAACGTGCAGGTATTAACTGCTTCACCGAGTTTATTTGTTGCTTTACACATATACGTTCCAGAATCTTCAGCATATGCGTATAAGATGTCCAAAGCCACATATCCGAAATCGTGCGTCGTTCTATACCGATGACCGGCTCTTATTTTTTGTCCGTTTAGGAACCACTCAATCTTCAGATCTGGATCATTGATAGGTTCAACTCTGCATTCAAAGTGGGCTCGATCGCTTTCCTTTAAGTTTTCAAGACTTGTTAAAGCAGTCAAAAAGACTGGACGTTGACCTGGCATTTCTTCTTCAACTGGTTTCGGCCTTTCGTACCTTTCCAATTCTTGGATCTTTCTCAATCTTTGTTCGTCTAATGTATCAAGATACAATCCAGCTTTAGCTAAAATACAAATTAACAAAAATGCATTAATCTATCAAACACTGCTAATTTATTAATCTTAATAGAAATGAGGACAAAAAATAATTTTAAATATAAAAAAATATTCTTACCATCTACTTTGACAGAACTTGTGGTGACAGCTTCGCCTACTGCATTCGTGGCTTTACACATGTAAGTACCAGTGTCTTCTCCATAAGCATACAATATATCCAACGCAACATATCCGAAGTCGTATGTTGTCTTAAACCGATGTCCTTGCTGGATTGGTCTACCGTTACAGTACCATTCAACACGCATAGTAGGATCATTCACAGGCGTCAACGTAGCCTCAAGATGGACAGGCTGACCTTCAGGAACTTGAGCATTTTTCAAAGGCTTTCCAAACTGCGGCTTCTCTGCAACGAAGCTTTCATCTCGAACGACACGCTTGTATCTGCTATCATCTTCCAGGTAATGTATTTTCTCTAAGGCGCTCTCATGTTGAGTATCTCTTATGATCGATTCCTTAGCTAAAATAAATTAATGATTATTAATATACTTGATTTTATATAATCTTTATATTTCAATGTTTGTGTACTTACATTGAACATTTAGTTTTATTGAAGATGTCGCTTGTCCTAAGTTGTTAATAACCTTGCATGTATATTCTCCGGAATCCTCACCATATACCGTAAGAATATCTAGAGCAGCAAATCCAAAATCATAGGCAGTACGGTAACGATGCCCACTCTGCAATACCTTGCCATTAAAATACCACTCTACTCGCATGTTTGGATCTGGATAAGGCTCAATACGACATTCATAATGTGCACTCTGACCCTCAACAAGCTTTGTAGGACCATTTAATTGAGTAATGAATCTAGGAGCTTGGTTGACAGCAACTTCCACATCTTCACGACGTTGATAACGCGAGGTATCTTCTAGCTGCTGAATCTTTTCCAAAGCACTTTCATGTTGCGACTCTAGTTGCAATGATGCCTTGGCTATAGTAAAGAAAAATATTTTAGTAAAGCGTCATTATTTTTTGATATGAAAATATATCTATAGTTTTCTATTTATACTTACACTGTACGAATAATGTAGAGGATGTCACAGCTTCACCAAGTTCGTTTATAGCTCTGCACGTGTAAGTGCCTGAGTCCTCGGGATTTACATATTTCATGTTGAGTGCAACGTAACCAAAGTCGTGCATTGTTGTTATGCGATTAGCTGAAAAGAAATGTTTATTGTTATTATTCATATTGTTATTATTATTTCTATGTTTATTCGCATTTTCGACTACAAACAGTTATTAAAAATATATTTTATACTTACAAGCTTCAATAGGTACTCCATTGCGTAGCCACTCTACCCGCAGTTTTGGATCTCCAACAGGAATAAGTCTGGCTTCAAAGTGAACAGCTTGATTTTCTGCTACCCTTATATCTTTCATGGGCATGGTGAATACGGGAGCCTGAGTGGTAAACTCTTCTTGTGCACTTTGTCTATGATATCTGGATGTATCTTCCAGTTGATTCAGCCTTGATAAAGCTCCTTCATGTTGTGATTCTAAGTAAATAGACTTCTTGGAGTGTACAATTGCGATACCAGAAGTTACTGCTTCACCTAAAGCATTGATAGCTCTACAAGTATACGTGCCTGAGTCTTCAGGCAAGCATGCCATAATATCTAAGGCCACAAAGCCAAAGTTATTGGTTTCGGTAAATCTAGAACCACTCTTGAGAGGCTTATTATTGTGATACCATTCCACTTTCATTGTTGCGTCAGAAACGGGGATTAGTCTACATTCAAAATGAGCACGCTGGCCTTCCTTTATTTCGATGTTTTTCAAAGAAGTGGTGAAAATCGGTGCTTGTGTGGTTACTTCGTCCACGGTGTCCGTTCTATGATATTTGGACCTGTCTTCCAGATTTTGGATTTGCTCCAGTCCGGCCTCATTTTGAGTGACTCTTACGATGTCTGAAGTTCCGCGGCACGATAATCTACAGCTAACTTCGTCAGAGCCTACAAGGTTAACCGCTCTGCAGGTATAAACTCCAGAATCTTCAGCAATTAAGTCAATTATATCTAAAGCTACATAACCAAAGTCATGAATTGGTCTGAATCTATGTCCTATTGTCACAGGCTGGCCGTTTTTAAACCATTCAACTTTAAGATTAGAATCGGTTACTGGTTCTAATTTACATTCAAAGTGCACATGATGTCCTTCGATCACATTCTCAATAGATTTTGGTTTAGTAACGAAGTGAGGCTTGATGTTTATAGATTCATCAATAACTTCACTCTTCTTGTAACGAGACGCATCTTCCAAGTATTGTATTTTTTCTAGACCCGAAGGGTGTTGCGATTCAAATATTAAATCTTTCTTAGCAATCACACGTAAAGCGCAGGATGTGACAGCTTCCCCTAGTTGATTTGTTGCCTGACAAGTATATACTCCAGAATCTTCTGGGTATACACTTAAAAGATCTAGAGCAACGTAATCAAACTCATAAGCTGGTCTGAATCTGTGACCCGTTTTAATCGGCCTGCCATTGCAGAACCATTCAACGCGCATCGTTTGATCGCCAACAGGCTGTAGTCTGCATTCTAAATGTACGTTAGTTCCCTCAACGGTCTCAATATTATGTAGTGCTCGTGAGAATTGAGGGGCTTGCATTACTGTGATATCCTCTTGTACTTGTCTGCCTCTTCTGGCAGCATCTTCGAGCATTTGTATCTGTTCAACTGCTTGCTCATTCTGAGTTTCGGTAACAATGTCTGATCTTTCAATCACACGTACCATGGCAGATGTATGTGCTGATCCTAGGTGATTTACTGCTCTGACAGTGTATTCTCCAGAATCAACAGATGTAGCATGGATTATATCTAGAGCTACAAAGCCGAAATCGTAATAAGTCCTAAAGCGAGAGCCGACAGTTACTGGTCGGCCATTATGAAACCACTCCACCCTCATGGTAGGATCTCCCATAGGTTCTAGCCTACATTCAAGATGAATATTTTTACCTTCTGATACAGGTTGAGGATCAGAAAGTGGCTGAACAAATACTGGTTTAGATTTTGAAATTTCTTCAATCTCGTACATTGGCTCTACAAATTTAGACTCTTCGATGTGTCTTGTTTTTTCATATAAACCTCTATGAATACTAGATGTATCAATACTTGAGCGTGCTGAAAAATGAAATAAAATATTTATTATTCATTTTATATTAATTAATAGTTAACCTTAATAATTATGAGAAAATGGTATATCACTTACTTTCAACAGTCATTGAGGCACTTAGTTGTGCTTCTCCTGCTGCGTTCCTAGCGACTACAGTATAGACTCCAGAGTCTTCTGCTCTCACGCTGGAAATATCTAGAGCAACATACCCAAAGTCATGGTATGTTTGAATACGGTTAGCAGATTTAATTTGTTTTCCGTTGAAATACCACTCCACATTCATAGTTAAATCACTTTGTGGTTCTACTCTTGCTTCAAAATGTGCACTTTGGCCTTCCACAATTTTATTTGTGCCCTTTAATGGTCCCAAAAACCGAGGTTTTTGTGTCACTTTCACTTCTTCTTCTGATCGTTTCATGTATTTGCTAGAGTCTTCAAGGTACTGAATTTTTTCCAGTCCGCCAGGATGTTGGGACTCGGCAATAATATCTTTCTTTGTAATAATTGTAAGATTAGCGTTTGTTGTCGCTTGTCCGAGAGCATTGTATGCTCTACAAGTATAATGACCAACATCGTGAATGGTAACTGACTTTATAGTCAAAGCTACATATCCAAAGTTGAAGAAAGTAGTGATTCTAGAACTGGCTTCAACTGGTCGACCATCTTTTAACCATTCTACTTTTAAAGTAGAATCACCTATTGGTTCGAGACGAGCTTCAAAATGTGCGAACCCTCCTTCCTTTATGTTTAACTGATCTCTAATAGGAGTTTTGAACTCTGGTTTCTGTGTGCTTTCAGGCATCTCCTGATAGTATTTTTGATGTTGTTGTTGTTGATATGCTTCTAATTGTTCAGTCTTTTCTATGTATCTTCGTTGTTCTGGTATTCCAAGATCCGCGGTAACTGTACTTCTGGCAGCAACCCTAATCGAAGCAGTACTGACAGCTTCACCTAGTTTGTTTACAGCCCTCACTGTGTACGAACCTGCATCTTCAGCCCGTAGGTGCATGATGTTAAGGGAGACGTAACCGAAGTTGAAGATTGACGTGATTCGCGAGCTGGCTGTAATAGCTCTGCCGTCTTTGTACCATTCGACTCTCATGGTCGGGTCACTGACAGGAGTTAATTGAGCTTCAAAGTGTGCATTTCTTCCTTCCTGAAGTTCGCCGAGATCTTGGAGCGGTCTGATGAATTGTGGTCTTTGTGAAACTTGGTCTTCGACTGACTCTTGGTGCTGGTACCGAGAATAGTCTTCTAACTGTTGAATATACTGCAAGCTTTCTGGGTGCTGGCTTGTTCTTTCGATTGTAGCTCGGGGTGTTACTTGCAACATAGCTTTAGTTTCGGCAGCACCAGTAGAGCTTACTGCTCGACAAGTATATTCTCCGCTATCTTGTATATTAAGACTGAGCATATCAAGGGAAATGTATCCAAATCGGAATACTGAAGTGTATCTGGAACCTAAAATAAAACAATGGTTTTACATTTTTATTTTATAATTTATTATAACTAAAATGACAATATTAAAGTTGTCGAAGCTGTCAATTTTGTACATAGAACCAAAGTTTTGGACAATTAAATAAATATTCTCGTAGAATGCGTGGAATCAGTCTAGACTAAAAACAGTAAAATTGAAGTAAAGTAAACCCTTAGATAAGATTAAAGGCGCGAATGCTTATATTATTTCATATAATGGAATACTAGTACAAATTCAAGTCATCTACTATTGGTTTATAAATCAACTTTGTTGTCGTGGTTAAACAACTTTTAGATACGGAATAATTTCAAATTTTTATTTTTTCATTAGTATGGGTATTAGTTTATATTTATAAAGAGCATACTCACTGGCTTCAATACTTTGTCCGTTCCTTAACCATTCGATCTTCATAGTCGGGTCACCGACCGGCTCTATCCTCGTCTCAAAGTGTATTTTGCCACCCTCCATCTGCGTGACGCTCTTCAGTGGCACAATAAACTGTGGCGGAGGATAGATACGGTCTTCCTCTCCCGGAGGAATAAAAGGTCTTGCTCTTTCCACGTGCCTTAAGTATATAATTTCTGGGCCAGGAGCGGGCCTAAAACAAACGCATTATTATTTTTACATTTCATATTTATTAATAATTACGGTATTACATTAGTGATAAAATAGTACACAATTATTTTAATTATTTATACTGGCACATGGTAGGAACTCGATGGTGCAGTGGTTAGCGCATACGATCTGCCATACAAAAGTTAAGAAATGATACGATACGTTAAGCCGTTGGTCCTGGCTGCATTTTAAGATGTTAACACCCAACGATCTTTACCGGGTCAAGCATGTCCCGTTTTCCTATTCAGTTTGATTCGAATATAGGAGAGGCCTGAAACACCTGTGCCCCAGCAGTATAATGTTGATAATGATTCTAGTGGCATAAAAGTGATAGACCTGTGTTATAATACTAAATAGAAATAATACTTACTCTGGCTCGATGATTTTTGTAGGCCGAGGTAAGTGAAGACGCTTCTGTTCGGGCGGAGGCTCTTTTGGTACTTCGACATAGAGCCTCGCCCGAGTGGCGGTGGAGCCTGCGACGTTCTGGGCGGTGCACTGGTACCATGCCGCGTCCGACGCCTTGGCTCGAGGGATGTCCAGTGTCGAGGCCCCACCCTCGGTATTTATTCGTAACTCTGGATTGGGTATAATCGGAACGCCGTCCTTCTGCCATGTGATTCGTGGCGTAGGGGTGCCGACGGCGCGCGCATGCAATTGCACGGGCTCGCCTTCGCGCACATTTAACGTGCTAAATCGCTCTACGAACTTAGGAGCAACAACTTGCTCTTTCTCTATCACGTTTAGCCTGCACTGGAACGACGTTTCGCCGGTCTTGTTGCGTGCTATACACGTTACTACGCCACTATCATTGAGATCGACGTTTGTAATCATAAGTGCATGATTACCTGATTCGTTTACTAGTATCTTATGATTATAATCGTCTCGTATCTGTCTATCGTTAATGAACCACGTGACTTCTGGGTAAGGTCTGCCTGTGACGCGGCAATCGAATCGCGTCATTTTTCCTTCTGTAACATCGCGGTCTTGGCAGACTTTTACAAACTGCGGAGCGAGAGCTTTTTCACTAACTTCTACTCTTTCTTCTACAGCTGTTTGCTGACTATCCATTATGTACTGTGATTTGTTATCTTGAACATAAGTTTCCTGGGGTGATTCTACGGCTAAATACGCTGATGTAACAACGCACCCGTTTGGATTTTCAGCCAACAATGTGTAGTGACCTGTATCAGATTTCTGTGTGTTTCTTACCCTAAGCGTAGTTTGATTATGTGTCGTGACGATTTCGTGTTTGTTCGAATTGACTATCCTCTGCCCGTTTTTGAACCACGACACCCGTGGCCGCGGGTTGCCTGAGAGCTGTACCTGGAACTGAGCATTGGCTCCCTCCTGAAGCTTGGAATTTCTAGGCTTTTGTGCTATCTTGGGAGGGCTTACAACACCTAGAGATTTGTCGATTTCCGTGCTGATCTGGATGTCTGTCTCGCCGATATACCTTTTAGTGATAGATTCTCGGAACGATACTTCTCGGAGGAGTCTATATTCGAACGTGTCCACCTTGAAGTCGTCCGTTGAAGTGTAATCGGATCCATTTGTGTATGCGACTTTCTGGGTCTGCTTGGTCTGTTCCGAGGTAAACCCTTGAGTGCCATAGGTTTTGTGTTCGACACTCTCGCTTACGTGGCGGTAGCTTTGTTGCTGTTGAGATTGGTGAGCGGGTACTGGGACACCTTCCGGCTGGATGTAGACAGAGCAGATGGCCTCACCGTACTGGTTGCGAGCGGTGCATGTGTATTCACCTTCATCACCGGGGCCAATCTGTTTGATGAGCAGGGAGACATCACCGGTCTGCTCGTTATAGCTCATGCTGTATTTGTTACACTCGACTAAGGGTGCCTTCTTGCGGGTCCAGGAGACGACGGGCGTTGGATTGCCACGAAGTTTTCCCTCGAATTTGGCATTACCACCTTGCGCGAACCTCGCATTTTTGAATATCTGTTCGAATATCGGTGGTGAGGGCTCGCCGGGTTTACCCGACGTAATCGGCAGCCGGTCTCCACTGCTTTCCACTGTAAATAATAAAAAAGTTTCGTATAAATATTTTGTATCGCTAAACATAGATTGCAAATAAAATATAATCTTTCAAATAAAAATAAAAAAATCTATAAAAAACAATTGCGATGCGAAATAAATACAAGACAAAAATAATCAGTAATTAACTATATACTATAATAAATCTTTATTTGAGTCTTTTTGCATGGAAGGTTTGCAGCCTATTTATCTCATATATGTGAAAAAATATATTATGCTGATGAGAAAGATTTAGAAATATCGAATGTTTATGCGATTCTGAAATCTTGTGATATTTGAAGCTTATTCAAAATGAATTACATCAGATAAACTTTTCTCGTGAACTTTTCTTAACAACGACAACCGCATCTGGAACTATTACGTGGTTCGGGACTAGATAAAAGCTTTACTAATACTGGGAATGACACATACGAAGAGCGATTAATTATTATATGTCCATTATTTTATTTGGTGATTAAAAAAAAATAACAGAATAAGATCAGAAAAAGAAAACAGGAAATATTTGAAAATTTAATGATTTCTCTATAAAAAATAATTAAACATTGTCAAAACGTGACTTTAAATTAAGAAAATTCATTGAACGAATGTGAAAGATGTTAAGGAAACAAGAGACAGACTATATATTGATCGATACATTTATTAATATTAACCAACCTGAACCGTCTTCCGTCATGAGTGACGTGACCACTTCTGCACAGGTATTTACTTTTTAATTCAGTTTAAACTGTTTATGCACGTTAGCACACTCGACAGTATTCTAGACGACTGTATAGCAGTGTGAGGAACCAGCAAAGATGATTCTGAATTTAGATTTGTGATGCATTCTAGAGTTCAGAGGAGTTGAATGTTTAAAATTTCAGAGTTCCAATATACGATATTGTTCATTTAAACCGTTCTCATGAGAGTTTTAATTAAAAATTCCGTATGCTAAAGAGAGTTGAACTATATCAAAACTGAACTCGAGAAGACTACCAAAGAGTACGAATAAATAAAACAAATATTAGGAATACACTGCTCAGATCACAAGTAGCTATAAATCAAAATAACGATTCTTTTTTCTATTAAAATTTGCTAGATCTGATTAGTTGTTTTTCTAAATTAGTGTTAATTGATTTTTTCTCCATATGAAAAAAGTTATAAAGAAAGAATGCCAATTGTCACTGCATTGAATTGAATTATTTCAGTATAATAATAAGGTGACTGGAATTACGTTAAGGTGGTAGATTTTTCTCCTATTTATCTGGGATTGTTGTTATATGGTCGTAAGTGGGCGGGAGTGAGAGGGCGCTGGCGGCCAACCGGCGCATGAGTCAAGACGCTGTTCTATTTCGGTACGTTCTCTGGATCTTGTTACATTCGCCTTTTTCGTTCGCACGGCCATCGGAAAATGGTGTAATAATAAGTGCCCATCTATCACGTCTGCATGCGCATTAACTCGCTCTCACATAAGGGTAGGTCAAGCATGTTTGGCAAATGGTTGGGTCATGATTCACGCTGATGATTTTTATAAGTTGTGCTAGAGGAATTGCATAGTACATTGCTCTCACACATTCTCCTAAATCGCTATAGATGAATCATCATATATTTTATATATCCAAACCTGACATGAGTCCAGAGAAATTTACTATATACTGAGCTATGTAAGCTGAGGTCACAAATGAACTCATGGATATACGAAACGTTTTGCCGGTTTTAGAGGTCTATAGGTTAATTAACTCTCTAGAGTTCTAACGTGATGGTATAAGATGTAGATTTCCTCGAATAAATTCAGTATAGTACATTAAAAAATTTTAGATTAAACTATTTTAAACCGAGGAACAGTTTCTCGTGTCGTCCCACAATTAATGTTCCGACATACTGGTACGGGCAGAAGCCAGTGTAACCGGCCAGTCGTATTTTCTGAACAAAAAAGTTGTATTTAATCGCAGTAATATTTTACATTAGCATATATAAAACTGTTTATTTTCTTAGTACTCGACTGTGTACGTTTTGATTGCATTCTGTTTTCGAGACGACCGTTATTTTGGACTCGTTGTAACAAACGTACCGCGGAATTTGCACTAAAACCTGTTCTAAGGAACAGCACATACTTTTCTTTTACATCAGTATTGGCGTTCATGAATTGATGCTTTGATCACATGAGAATGTAAAAAGTTCTCGAGGATAAAATTTCCAAAAGGTTGCTTCTTATGATCTCGCTATCGTCACGAGTTTTTTTCTTATAATAAAATCACATTTATAAGTAGAACACCATTTGTTTATATTAGTTATGTGGCTGCATTAAGCATTTCTTCAATGTTTAATTGAGCATTGAAAATAATCAATTTGACTTTATTCCGTTCCATTTATACTTATAAAAAATGGAATGACTTTTGTTACTCTCACAAAATATATAGAACGGTTTGGCAGATTCGGTTTTTTTTGTAGAAGTCTAAGGTCTTTTAAATATTTTAAGCTAAGAAAATACAAAGAATTTGCAGCAAAATTTATAAAGGGAACAATTTTTTTTTCCAAACTACTTTTCCGTCAGCGCCCGCGTGGTGATGTGTATATTCATGAAAACATCATTAAAATTCTGCTGTGTAGATTAATATATCTCAACGTACAGACAGCAGGAAACTACGTTGTTTTATACAATGTATAGATACAGAATATTAGGTTGCAACGGCAATTATTTTTGTTATAAATTCTGCTACCTTTTTACTGCTATCGTGCGTATTTCACAAAGAATGTAATGAATAAATGAATGTCCTTAATCTCAAAACTTGAGAACTGGACCAATCTGGCATATTTAGGCCGAATCAAGAATCTTCCACGGATGAACACTGTGATCTAAATAATAGAGAAAAAATACAGCAAGACAAGAGAATCTTGATCTGATGTCTAACTATACGACATAAAGGGATCTACTCGTATTTCAACCCTTAAAAGTTTTGCTTGCCTCATATAATGTATGCAAGTATAGTAATGGACCTCTTAACCGATGGGTTGGCGGCTCTCAGCAGCTTTGATCTCCGTTACTTGCGCCGTGTAATGTATCGCACACGAGATTTTACTACTGTGTTTTAGCAGTTTCGTCCGTTACCGCTTAAAAGTGGTAATATAAATCGGTTGTTAAGATTGCTTAGTAATAATTATAAAAAGGATTGTAGATAATAAATATTAACGTATTTTAACTAAGTTTGTTGGTGGTAAATCGGATAATGTTGTTTGAAAACACATATCTTGTTATTGGTAGTTCCTACAAAGTGAAATATTTATTGAGACAAATCCACAGTGTACCTACTACTTGAATCATTATAATATTACCCAATGTTACGTTGTCCGAATTTTCACCTGTTAATTTTAACAATTTGTTAAGTAGTTAACAACATTTAGAGGTTTAACACTTTAACTACCTATGCGATATGAAAACTTGCTAGTTTAATGTTACAAACATTCTGTTTATATTATAATTTAATGCTCTAAAATATCTTCAATAAATAAATGCTTTAAAGAAGATGTTATTAGTATCAAAGCTAAAACGCAAAGAAATCTTAGCGCAGTTAGAATACCAGGTAGAGATAATTTTATTATTATTAATAATTTAATTAAGATTATTAATATTTGTTCAATAAGAAAATTGTATTACTACTACTATGTATTATTGTCTTTCGAATTGTGAATTGTATAGAATTTTAACCGAAAAAACGTCGTCAAACGTCGTTGGCGACATTGAGTTTCGGTTAAGATAAAAATAAAATTGGTAGAGCAATAGACTGGTTAACGAAAGGTAAACATACTGAAATAATATAATTGTGTACGGTAAAAAGACAAAAAAATTGATCAAATATAATGTACAGACAGGATAAAAGTGGGGGCCATGAGGAATCAAGAAATAAAAAGACTATAGGAGAGATGTATGGTGTTCCATCTAAAACAAGAGCTTGAGTTAACTAATGTAGTGTTTATATGAATAACTAACTAACTATTCCTGCTACTTCGCCCGTATAAATTATAATACCTGCATGTCAGTCACCTTAAGCTTCCCGTAGGTAGGTGAAAGGATTTTTAAAATAAGCCAATCCAATGCAAACAAACAATCAATCATTCCTCTTTATAGTTAATACTAGCTTTCGCCAGCGGCTTCGCCCGCGTGGACCCTAGGGAAATGTTTAGTGGGATAAAAAATCCTATTATGTAAGTCAGCTATTATTGCTATTAAGTACCCTATCTGTCTACCAAATTTCATGAAAATCCGTTCAGTAGTTTCCGCGTGACTGACGGACAAACATCCAAACAAAGAAACTTTCACATTTATAATATTAATAGGATTATTACTACCTATATACAAAAACTAAATGTCATATAGTTAAAACGATATCGAACCCCGCATAAACGATACTGAACCACAAATAAAATAATGGCACTGTTCCCATGAATGTTAGATGTTTACTTTATGGTTTCGCGTTCAAGGTTTCTATATTATTGGGTCAAGGTCACTCTCCTCTATCAGAAAATAAGACGGAGTCATCCCTATAATTTTTTCTCATTAAATGTGATAATAACCTTTTTATATTACGACTCCTAAATGTTCCAATTCTGTTGTAATGTAATTAACGTTATAGACAGTTTTTAATTTGTCGATTATCTGATTCGTCATACTTCTTGCCAGATTGTGAAAAAAAAACAATGGTTTATTATTTTCTTCTCTTTCTTTGTCTACAAATACCGTCATTGGCCATCGGAGAACATTTAGATGATTATAAATTGTCAATCAGTTCTTAATTTTAGAGCTTAGGAAGATATTATTATAGTATTAGTGAGTATTTTTTATTTTTTAGATAGACTTGCTGTTTTTCGACTGTGTTACACTTGTACAGAATATAAACTATCGCAAATTATATGTATAAATTATTTCGCTTAGGCATAGTTACACATCCGATACATTTCTTAAGATTTACGTTTATACAAACTCATAATACATGTGACAAATAAA